AAGTCACTATTATATGTAATGTATATATAATGTAGTTAAAAATTTATAACTTTCAGCCAATCAATATAAAGTATCTATGATGAATAGTCAAGGACAAGGCAAAACGTGGGGAAAGTTTGAAATTACTTTAATTTCTAAAGACAGCAGCAATGAAACTTTTGTTCTATCTCAGTAAGTAACCTCTTCATTTTTCACATCAGAATCAACTATGCCATTATTCATTTTTTATGGCTATTATTTCTGGTTTTTATTAAACGCAATAGGAAAAAACTTCTTTGATATTCAAAATTCATTTCTTTTATTTCGATCGATAGCAAGTAATTTTAAAGATTTACATAATCTTAGCGAATCCCAAGAAATAACGGATACCCAAGTGATACAAGGATTGATAGTAGCGCATCCGAAAATACGCAATTTAACTCAATTTACAATTAAATATACGAAGTATCGAGGATGGATATATAACGGATTAGACGAGTGGATGTTAGACAAAATATTGATTCATGACAGTTATGGACAGAAGTAAGTTGTGAATAAATTAATCTAGAATTAAATTTTTGCTACTGAATTTATCCTTCCTTTCTTTTTTCTAGATATTCTTATTGTGGACTCAGCACAATTATCAAAGATGGTGAATCAAAAACATTGCCACTGACAATGGATGACTGTCAATTGAAACCTCCTTTGGAAAGAACAGCCAGATTGATCTGGGAAGTTGTAAGCGATGCAGTTGTAAGTCCTCATCCGAGACCACCAACCGTTTTATGGAAGTTTATGCTGGACGAAAATGGAGAATGGCAAAAATTATGATTTTTATATATCCCATGAATGAGAAACTAATTAGAAAATGTGGTGATACAGATGCATATTTACATAGTTTTGCAATGTAGTAGGTTAAAGGTAGTATATATTAAGCATAAATGAAAAAATATGTAGTCTATAGTTTGTGTTTGAGGCTTATCGAAAGATAGGAATAATATAGGAAAATTATATTACAACACATCATAAGATTTATTTTTATAAAAATCTTTATTTATTATCACCGATAAAATTAAAAACGTTTGTATATATGATAATATTTATTACAGAGGACTTACATTGTAGAAAATACTCATGATAAAACTTAATGAAATTTCTGTGATGTAAGTACTTTCTATACTGTAAAGCAGGGGCCCCAAAGCTTTTTTGACTGTCGATCCCTTCAAGGATTCCTCGACATCCCTCTTCTTTTTTTTGATAACACAGTTAATAATAAATAAATAAACCTGGTGAGTCAGTATTAATCCATAGACCGTTTTCATATTTATTTACAGTGAAGGGTCTTTCATTGATCCCCGAAAATGCCTTATCGACCACTTTGGGGACCTCTGCTGTAAAATCGAGGCGACAATATCTATAGCGTACTATTTACCTGAAGTGAAACTTCGTTAAAGATTAAAATGTCTTTAACATTTAGCACAATTATTTGCCAAAGGCAATTTTATAGAATTTTCATTAGGCAAATTTCAAATTTGAGTTTCTTCAAAGAAACAGTCCTACACGAATTAATTTAATAGAAGTAAAGGACTCTAATTATTGCATTTAAAACTTGTTCATAGTTTCGAGATAAAATGTATTTTATCACAATGTGTTATTTCCTTATAGTTACATAACTATAAAAAATATATTTGTAAAATATATCTTTTACACTTAACTCTTGCACTCATATTGTTTATATTATTCCGGTAATGTTTCTTTTAAACATTCCTTCGTACTTCATTCATTTAAATGTAATTAAATTATTAATTAAAGANTCTACTTAACTCCATATAGGGTAAGTGTTTTTTTTTTTTTTAATTATTTTAATCTTATACAAAAATTAGATTTTTAAGAAGATTTAATTAGCGTTTTTTTAAGTTAAAAAGCAATTTGTTTTAAAATATATACACCATTGGATGGTATTGGATGTATTCGTGATGGTCTTGTTTATATAAGAATTTAAGAATTTTCACATATTTAATATAATATTTCTATCATTTTCAATATAGATTTATAATGTTTAGCATAAATATACAACGCTTATTTATATTAACGGCCTCAATTTTCTCTATTATTGTCAAGTCTGACCTGTAGTAGGAGGTCATCGGAGTGAATGAATGATAGGGAACGATACCTCAACCTATAATTGAACTCACGAGAAATCAGATTCAAATCCGGATTTCATAACAGTCGAAGAATATATCATGGTCATCTGGCCCATTATTAATTTCGTTTTGTTTTTAATATTCCTGTGGCGAAACAAGTAAAATCACTTACACAATATTTAAAGATTATCCTTGCAAGTATTAAAAGTAATTCTTACAATATTTATAAGTAATTTTATAGTATAAATATATATTTTCTTATTAGTATAACATAAATTGTAACTAAAGAGGTGCATCAATATTATTACACTGCAATATTTATTTCTAAAAGATTACAATAATGATAGGCTACATGATTAACAGTTAGATAATCTATCGTAGATTTTATGTCCAGTTAGCATTATTTTTATTATGAATATATTAAACATTATTTTATATATATTTTTTGCTAACAAATAAACATTTTTATGATTTAAAACTCCATATTTAATGTTTCTGTTACACAACAGATGGCAGTACGAGGATTTTACACTTACATAAGTAAACAAATTCAATAAGAAATGCTGTGATCTTATCACAGCAATAAAAGCGCATTAAATTCCATAAATTAACATAAAATTTCCTTCTCTTTGTGAATACGAAATCATTCTTTTAAATTAAGAATCAATCATTTTATACATACATTTTAAAAATCAATTTTTAGTTCAATATTTAGGCTATNAATAAATAATTTATTATATATTGAAATTGTTTCAGGCAAAATATCTGCCTCATTTTATTAATATATTCTATACAATATAAGTTACTAGTTACATTTATCCTCCTAATAAAAATAACGTTGTAAAGTAAGCTAATTTTTCACTTTTTATTGGACATCTTGAAGTGTATGACCTTTATAACATAGTTTGCATGCATAATATATTGCATTTTCATTTTATGAAAACTACAGAATATTGATTAAAATGTTTGTTAATTTATTAAATATGTTTAAGAATTCTTTTTAAACCCAAATTGTAAATAAGTGCAAAATTTATAAAGTTAGTTTTTTAATGATTTAATATATTTTTTTAAGATTATGCAATGCACTAAAGCAAAAAGTTATAATTTGTCCTTGAGATCATAGTTATTATTGATGGAACTCTGATAAAATTAATATAAGCAATTCGAATTGTTAAATAATGGATTACATTCAAAAATACAAGTTAAATATTTATAAAAATATTTCTGATTGTGAATATTTTAAAATTAAATACAGTACTTCAAAAACTATCTAAAATTACTTCTTTTTTTTTTATGCCCTTTGAACATGGATAAGTCTGAATTCATATAAAGTACCTAGCCTATATATATTATCAAGTTCTTGGAATTAACGATAAAAATTTTATTTATAGTCAAAATGTTGCTAAAATTAATATCCCGAAGGAAACTATTAACAAAAAATATATGTATAACATATAATATATCCATCATAAACTGTGAAATTTTTATAATAGAGTTTTGATGGATCAAGATGAACTGTAATTATTAAGCCAGTAAAATCCAAAAACAGTACTTCCGGACTTATGTTTAGCTTAAGGTTAACAAGTCAACCGAACCAATTTGCTTTTACAATTTTACTTCACTGCCTTTTTTTCCCTCTTACTAAATGGCTAGTGCATTTACTCCATATATAGTCTATAATCACACACAAAACAATTTATCCTCGGGTAAAATTCATGACCGAGCTTTCAACAAAACAATATACATTTTAAATTCATCAATGACCTTATCTGGATAAACTTTACAGAAAAAAAAAATTAACTTCCTCTTAATGTATGAGAAAAATTCTAGAATTTATTTTTTTGTATTAGATATTTTATAAACGTGCATTTGACACGGTAAGCGATTACATTTTTATTTGTTTATTTAAGAGGTAAGCAATCAAGGAAAATTGCATCATTATTTTATCGTCTAAATATTATATCGAAACGATTAAGCAATTGATTAAGCATTATCTAATATGTGGTAAGAACGAAGAGGGATTAGAAATGAAGCAAAAACTCCGTTTTCTCGATGTTTATGTTGAGATATTAAAAGTCAAAAAACTTGACATTTAAATAGTGGCGCGTTATCATATGGGCAAAAATGGCCCCAAAACAGTCTTTATAAGAAACTATTTCCCCGAAGAAAAATTCCTGAAGTCAATACTATACATGGGGCCCCCTAATTCAAATTTGCCCGGGCCCCATGAAACTATAATGCGCTACTGCATTCACAAAAATATGGAAAAGTTAAATTTTTCAGCTTTAAGCTATACTTATATCCTTTTTAAATACGCCAATTCAGAATTAATTTTTCGGTTAATTTAATTTAAAATAATATCTTCGAGTTCATAAATAAAGCAAAAATAAAAAAAAAGTATAATTAATTTGCTGAGATCCGCATTTTAACATGTAATCTATGGACATTTTAACATATCCTTATGTTATCGATCTTAATTTTAGATATATAAATCACATCTTTTCGTATGAAAAACTCGGTAATATGCACTTTTTTATGTACCCTTTTTTAAATCCCGTTTCGACTGATAGATCCGGAACCCGCAAAGTACCGTACATAATAAACAAAATTATTTAAATGCAAATACAATTTTTTAAATCGTACTAAGCCGAATAGTCGCTTTTTTTTTCTATGGTCCGTATAATCTGCTGAACAGATGATGTTCCCGTACTTCCGATCACGTGAATAAAATGGCTAGAAGCAATTGGAGGAGGAGGGGAAAAAAGTCGCTTCCTGTTTCCTGTCAGAATGACCTGCGCGCTACAAAGACAGCACTTCTCTTTATTGCTATAGAAGCATCAATAGCGAGCACATGGTACTGTACATCGCATCACTTATAATGGACCTTAAATAAGGCGAAATCATATATTTTATTTGCGTGACATAAAATATATGTAAAGATCTCATTCCCAAATAATGCTATATTTACGTTTGGTATTATTATCAGGTAAGTGTTTTTTTTTTTTTTAATTATTTTAATCTTATACAAAAATTAGATTTTTAAGAAGATTTAATTAGCGTTTTTTTAAGTTAAAAAGCAATTTGTTTTAAAATATATACACCATTGGATGGTATTGGATGTATTCGTGATGGTCTTGTTTATATAAGAATTTATTTATTTCGCTCGGTTGTCAGTCTGTTATAAAAGATTGACCATAAAGTCAGGTAAAAGTACCTGTGTAAGTGGAAATGTGACCTGTGTTGTAACAAATGTCAGTGACCCTGAACCACTTAATCTTATCTTTTGTGAGGTCAAGCGATTGTGACCGTGACTGAAGGTGGTGTAAAAAGGTTCAACAGATGAATTATGAATGAAACTAAAATTACATTTTCCTCTTCTATAATCATTATAGGGAAAGTACATGGTTTATTTATATTCTATCTTTATTCCTTACCGGAAAGAAAAATAATCTTTTCATTATCATCTTGATTTGGAACCGCTTTATTGATTCTATTTTAAACTTTGTTCATTAGATAAATGTACAAAAGTTAAATGAGAATTATCTTAATTTGTAATAATAATAAATTATTATCGAGATTAACAAGGTCAGTTTGAAGTTATTCCTAAAGTAACCCAAATTTTTTAAAATTTTATGACGCACTAAACAGGTCTGAGTATGTAACATCCTGTTCCAATTAATTCCCACAAAATGATTAGTAATATCCAACTATAAATTTGCATAGAAAATATTAACATTGAAAAAAAAAGGAACTCGACTCTTCAAACTGGTGTTGTAATTATTATTTTTAAAATTATTGACCCAGATAGTTGGGTGGGTCGGGTTATCAGATTTTGAGAAAAGATGGAATTCTTCTAGGTCAAACGGTCATTGATTGATAACAAAGCACAATATCAAGTGCGAAAGAGTTATCAGTTCGAAACGTATTCTTTTATCTTTCTATAATGCTTTCTTATTAAATGAGTTTTGGTGCCATCACTCATCAATAAGCATTCGGGTCTGAAAGAAAAATTAGAGCGAACCAAAACGGCGTGGATCCTGATTATCTAATTTTTTAAATTATTATTATTATAGCTACTGTTTACACAACGTTATCTTTCTACCAATATCCTCTGTTTAAAAATTTGGACGATGACGAGCCAAGCGATTATGAAGTTTGGAAAGCGATCTTCACCTCACTAGCTAGATGGCGGGAGATGAAGAAAAAAAAGGCACAAAGACCTCATCATCATATTCAAAGAAGATCAGAAGGACGAGTTTGTTATAGTAAAGTTGGATGCTTTCAAGATGACGGCGCGTTTGATTATTTAAATACTTTGCCTGCTTCACCTGACGTCGTTGGCACGAAATTTATACTCCATACTCGAAAAAATGCCATAGAAGGTGACTTACTTCACTATAATGACAGTTCTTCTTTATATTTTTCTCATTTCAACGGAAGTAACCCTATTAAGATAATTATACATGGATTTGGTAGCAGTTCGAGAAGAGCTTGGGTGAAACAGATGACCGAAGCTCTCCTGTTTGTTGTAAGTTAATTCGTAGTTGTAATTAGTAATAAATTACAATTAAATCGTTTTTATCGAGATATCCTGTTTCCTTACATGTTTATTAAGAGGAAAGCTGATGGTAAACATGCTACATCCACAGGAAGATGTAAATGTCATCGTGGTCGATTGGGAGAAAGGATGTGCCCTTCCAAACTACGTTCAAGCAGCAGCTAATTGTCAGTTGGTCGGCAAAGAAATTGCATTACTCATCAAGATGATTAATTACGAAAGAGGCACAACGAATCAAGACTATCACCTAATCGGATTCTCTTTGGGAGCTCACGTTGCAGGATTCGCAGGAAGAGAGTTGAAGCATCTCAAGAGGATCACTGGTACACTTCCAAAAACATATGAGAATTTGATATAATTAAAGACATTTTTCAGAAGTTTTAAATTAAGTTTTATTCTAGGGTTAGATCCTGCTTCACCCCTGTTTGAAGGGTATAGTGCAAAGGTGAGACTAGATCCATCCGATGCAGATTACATAGATGTAATTCACTCCAATGGAAATAGTTTCTTGAAAGGCGGTCTTGGTTCTTTCGAACCAATGGGGCATGCAGATTTCTACCCAAACGGCGGAAGAATACAAGTCGGTTGCAATAACATCTTTATTGGAGCCATATCTGATATTTTCTGTATGTTTATGACAAATAATTACGTTAAATTTTGCAATATGAAATGTAATTTCTTTATAACTTTTGTATAAATATTTGTAGATGGAAATTGGCAAAGTTTATGTAATCACAGAAGAGCTTTCCGTTTCTTCATCGATTCCATACTTCCTGGGTGTATTTTTACCGCATTTAACTGTGAAAGCTTCGAAAAATTTATTTCGGGTCAATGCATCCCTTGTTCCGGTGATGGATGTGGACAAATGGGATATCATGCAAAAGGAAGAGGAAAATTTTACCTTGTAACTAGAGAAACTGAACCATTTTGTGGTAAGTGAATAGCAAAATTCTAATTTTGCTTTATATACATTATTTATCGGCGTTTTTTTCATATACAGTAGAAATAAATTTCTAGATTTTTCAATCTTATAGATGAATATAGAATTTTGAATCTGGAAACTATAATTAATTTAAACTAGTAAATTTTATAAAACTTTCTAATTAAAAAAGTCTTCAGTTAAATATCTGACCATTTCCAGAATAGAAAAACTCATTTATAACAGATTAGAACGACATAAAAAGTAGTTAGGTTAAACATTTGTATTCTCCATTATGCTTATAATAAGGTTATAAATAGTCTAAGCAGTATAGATAGCATTTTCGCAACAACTTGTTATAATTATAACGTTATATTTTGAAAATGAAATTGTTGAACGATTTTCTAATATTAGAAAATCGCCTATTAAATACTGAACTATTTTTCAGTATTTAATAGACAAAATGTTATGCTTTAGTATTTGGCAATTCATTAAAGTTTACATTTTATCAAAAACATTTTCTGTTGGTTTGTCATATGCATTATAATAAACTATATATAATTTAAAGAAAATAAAATTTACTATATTATAAAAGGTATAGAATTATAAGTCACTATTATATGTAATGTATATATAATGTAGTTAAAAATTTATAACTTTCAGCCAATCAATATAAAGTATCTATGATGAATAGTCAAGGACAAGGCAAAACGTGGGGAAAGTTTGAAATTACTTTAATTTCTAAAGACAGCAGCAATGAAACTTTTGTTCTATCTCAGTAAGTAACCTCTTCATTTTTCACATCAGAATCAACTATGCCATTATTCATTTTTTATGGCTATTATTTCTGGTTTTTATTAAACGCAATAGGAAAAAACTTCTTTGATATTCAAAATTCATTTCTTTTATTTCGATCGATAGCAAGTAATTTTAAAGATTTACATAATCTTAGCGAATCCCAAGAAATAACGGATACCCAAGTGATACAAGGATTGATAGTAGCGCATCCGAAAATACGCAATTTAACTCAATTTACAATTAAATATACGAAGTATCGAGGATGGATATATAACGGATTAGACGAGTGGATGTTAGACAAAATATTGATTCATGACAGTTATGGACAGAAGTAAGTTGTGAATAAATTAATCTAGAATTAAATTTTTGCTACTGAATTTATCCTTCCTTTCTTTTTTCTAGATATTCTTATTGTGGACTCAGCACAATTATCAAAGATGGTGAATCAAAAACATTGCCACTGACAATGGATGACTGTCAATTGAAACCTCCTTTGGAAAGAACAGCCAGATTGATCTGGGAAGTTGTAAGCGATGCAGTTGTAAGTCCTCATCCGAGACCACCAACCGTTTTATGGAAGTTTATGCTGGACGAAAATGGAGAATGGCAAAAATTATGATTTTTATATATCCCATGAATGAGAAACTAATTAGAAAATGTGGTGATACAGATGCATATTTACATAGTTTTGCAATGTAGTAGGTTAAAGGTAGTATATATTAAGCATAAATGAAAAAATATGTAGTCTATAGTTTGTGTTTGAGGCTTATCGAAAGATAGGAATAATATAGGAAAATTATATTACAACACATCATAAGATTTATTTTTATAAAAATCTTTATTTATTATCACCGATAAAATTAAAAACGTTTGTATATATGATAATATTTATTACAGAGGACTTACATTGTAGAAAATACTCATGATAAAACTTAATGAAATTTCTGTGATGTAAGTACTTTCTATACTGTAAAGCAGGGGCCCCAAAGCTTTTTTGACTGTCGATCCCTTCAAGGATTCCTCGACATCCCTCTTCTTTTTTTTGATAACACAGTTAATAATAAATAAATAAACCTGGTGAGTCAGTATTAATCCATAGACCGTTTTCATATTTATTTACAGTGAAGGGTCTTTCATTGATCCCCGAAAATGCCTTATCGACCACTTTGGGGACCTCTGCTGTAAAATCGAGGCGACAATATCTATAGCGTACTATTTACCTGAAGTGAAACTTCGTTAAAGATTAAAATGTCTTTAACATTTAGCACAATTATTTGCCAAAGGCAATTTTATAGAATTTTCATTAGGCAAATTTCAAATTTGAGTTTCTTCAAAGAAACAGTCCTACACGAATTAATTTAATAGAAGTAAAGGACTCTAATTATTGCATTTAAAACTTGTTCATAGTTTCGAGATAAAATGTATTTTATCACAATGTGTTATTTCCTTATAGTTACATAACTATAAAAAATATATTTGTAAAATATATCTTTTACACTTAACTCTTGCACTCATATTGTTTATATTATTCCGGTAATGTTTCTTTTAAACATTCCTTCGTACTTCATTCATTTAAATGTAATTAAATTATTAATTAAAGAAAATAATTTACAATTCTTCATAGAAGATATCATTTGTGCAAATTAATATAAAAATTATCAATTTCTGTGAAAAAGTCATAAAGAATCATTTTAATAATTACTGTATTTTGAAGTTTTAATCTACGTAAATTTTTTAATTATATCTTTTTTTTAAATGTAAATAAAATCTTGAATAATAAATATTAATTAATGCGTTTAAATAAATTAATTCGAGTTTATTTTGTTAAATTTATGACGGAAATATTGTAGGTTATCGTTGAAAACTGTAACATTTTATAACAAACTTTTGTTTAATACTAAATCAAAATGTTTAGTCTACAGAAATGGCTCTTTTTGTGTATCAAAAACTGAGAAAAGTAAAAATGTTTTTGAAATAAGTGTCAAATTTTTTTAAAGAAAACTCGATTATCTTAAAAAAAAAATACTGTATTTATTTACTTTTATGTAACGGTTGGATTGTATGAGGTTCACCAGTGGCCAAATGGATGAACCACTAAACACTGGTCGTGGGTTCGTGCCTGACCAATGGACTGGCCAAGTGGAATTTTCTGGGTTTAATTTACTTCTCCAACAGATAAATAGGGGATAATTGTCTATAGAAAGCTTCAGGTGTCTATTGTTGCTGGGCATCTCGAATTTATTGTTAGTTGTACAAAAGTTCCTACAAAACACACAATTATTTATCCAGAAAAGGTCTTTGCCTCAATTTAAAAGAGCACATCAATCACATAAATTCGGATAAATCAAGAAATGAACAATAAAATAGTGAACGATTTTATTTACAAGCCGAAATACGCTTTATTAATTTATAAACCCGCATAAATTTGCAATAATCATTAATTTCTTCTTTAATAACTTCGAATTTGACTATTAGATTTTTTATTGAATTTCTTTGCTTCTATATACTGTATTTTACGCTCTTTATATTCATTTGCCAATTGAATATTTAAATTAATAATAATTATATTTGTGATAAAAATATAAAATATACAACGTATGTGTATGGGAATATACTCGAGATCTGTTATCAGATCAAATTCATTTTCTAGTAAGTAGACTGAATTTCTTGTAGTTTCTAAAAAATATATAAAATCTATATTTTATAACCGCTTGTTTAATTTCGAGTCAACTCTATTCTAATTTAGTTTTCAAAAAATGTCATAAAGTAGTATTTTATGAATATTCATAAAATGTACTCCTCTTCAATGTTATTGTAAACAGATATTTAGAAGTCTAACTGAAATCAAATGTGGTATGATGACATTTTAGAACACGTGGAAGGCATTTCCGAAAAAAAGTACCAAAACTCACCGCTCTGGCACTTTTGGCGTTGCAAGGAGCAAACACTATTTGTAGAAAGACCCTCATGCTCTGCAGAGATCTTATGCAGAGACCATGATCTCCATTCTGAAGGTGTAAAATCTAAAGGCGAGGAACAACGTGTTCAACGTCCACCCTAATTATTCCTCTGTGGTACTTCTCACGAGGGATGTGATACTGTGTTTTAAGGCCACCAAATTTTCTTCCGAATGTTCTGAAATTTCACTGTGCTAAATTTGGTTGCATTTGGACTGCTGAATGTCTCCCTAGACAGCGTTGAGTAGTGGTACACGATTCCGTGGTATGTCGAATGTATAACAGTTCTTATTCTCTATCTAAATAACTACATATGTCGAATCTTTTGGAAATTTTAACTTTGAAATTGTTAAATTGATTTAAGGGACGGATTTATGTTATTATAATACACACATATATATATACACTTTTTAGCTATCAAATTGCTTACAATATAAGTAAGTATATATAATAGTTGTGTTAGACCATTTAAGTAGATACGAATATATCTTAGTGGTTTGGATAATTTATGCCTTCTTGTTTTGTGTGCATATCAAATGAATTTAAATTTATTCTAAGTAAAAAATTTAATGAAATCATCACCTGAAAATAAATGAAAAATTCGTTACGTCTACTATTTGTTTCTTTAATAAATATAAAAATAAAAAAGGATAATCTAAAAAAATCCTTGTTGATCGTGATGCAATTTACATGTTTAAATTTCTTTATAGTTAAATTTATAATATAGTAATTAATAGATTTCTCCATTTAGTTACATGCTCTCGTGTCTTTACATATAGAAAAATTTACTTCTGTAATTACTGTAGAAAAATTATTTATGCTATTTCTACGATTCTTCCGTGAATTTATAAATTTCGCCTCTCTTGATCTGGATAAAGCGCAGTATTTAAAATTTACGAAGCTATAAACAGTAATTTTTTTATTTTTGATAATGTATTTATGTATAAAATATGTAAATAAATAAATATGTAGGCCTGTACAACAAAATTATCACATTATCAATTGTTAATTTTTCAGATTCATAAAAGTTAATAGTAAATATATAATGTTGATTTTATATAAGAATTTAAGAATTTTCACATTTTAATATTTCTATCATTTTCAATATAGATTTATAATGTTTAGCATAAATATACAACGCTTATTTATATTAACGGCCTCAATTTTCTCTATTATTGTCAAGTCTGACCTGTAGTAGGAGGTCATTGGAGTGAATGAATGATAGGGAACGATACCTCAACCTATAATTGAACTCACGAGAAATCAGATTCAAATCCGGATTTCATAACAGTCGAAGAATATATCATGGTCATCTGGCCCATTATTAATTTCGTTTTGTTTTTAATATTCCTGTGGCGAAACAAGTAAAATCACTTACACAATATTTAAAGATTATCCTTGCAAGTATTAAAAGTAATTCTTACAATATTTATAAGTAATTTTATAGTATAAATATATATTTTCTTATTAGTATAACATAAATTGTAACTAAAGAGGTGCATCAATATTATTACACTGCAATATTTATTTCTAAAAGATTACAATAATGATAGGCTACATGGACTGTCGATCCCTTCAAGGATTCCTCGACATCCCTCTTCTTTTTTTTGATAACACAGTTAATAATAAATAAATAAACCTGGTGAGTCAGTATTAATCCATAGACCGTTTTCATATTTATTTACAGTGAAGGGTCTTTCATTGATCCCCGAAAATGCCTTATCGACCACTTTGGGGACCTCTGCTNTATATATATATATATGAAATATGAAATGGGAATTCTAGATTCTGCAGAGATAATTAGAAAAAGGGGTAGGGCACCTAACCTACTTTTACTCGGTACGTTGAATTCATGCTAAATGGCTTCTCAGAATGAATTCTCAGGTGGGACAGGTGTATGTAAAACTAAACCTAAAGGCTATTATGTAATTAAAACTCACATAAAAACTTATTTATTTATAAAGATTTTATAAATTGAAAAATATTATAAATTATTAATATTATTAAATTATAATATATATTTAAATATATAGTAAAAAAAACTTGTCTAAACGGACTCACAACTAAACAGAAACCTATGAAAATGGAAAATAAATCTCGAAATTAACAATCTAAAATACTATTGTAAAACTGAAAACCCGTCTAAAATGAAAACAGAAAACCTGAATAAAGCGGAATTTTTTGGCGTAACAGCAGCTAAATTCCATTTGTATGTTCCGTTTTACACAGGTTTTACTGTATAAAAAATTAAAAAGTTTCTGATGCCATCACATGTAAAGAAATCATGTTCATGCTATCTTGAATATGGAATCTTCCGTTCAAAGCTTCATTAAATAGCGAGATATTCTGTTGCTTGTAAATATATAAATATTAAACTATAAAAAAGAGTTTTCAATGTTATTATAAAAAGAGTATAGAGTTTTTAATGTTATTTTACTTTAGAAATGCTTTGTAATGTATAAATGAATAGTTGATTGAATATATACAGTCGAACCTTCAACAACGACCACCTCTAAACGGCGGTCTTTTTAGAAATGCATACAAAATAACCTCCTAATAACGGCCATTTTTTTGTTCTCGTCAGTGGCCGCAATATAGAGGTTTGTCTGTATTTTCATATTTTCATATTTAATTTCTTATTAATATGTATACCACAAGGTATTATACTTGAATAGTCTACTGTATATCTTATTGTAAATCCTGTATGTTATTATGTTACTGTTTATTGCGTTATGTAAAACAGTATTTATATTATTTTCCTTTGTATTACTTCAACTGACTATAATGTTTTGTGTGCTATTGATTTGTACTGTTAATATGTAAATAATTCCTATGTATACTTATCTGGTAATGCACCTAGCGGGCCAGATATGTGCGTATGCACTTTAAATAAAGACTGACTGACTGTATTTTCATATTATAAAATAGGTTTTTTTTTTCTGTACATAGCATTGAACATACGTTTGTATCTTCTATTTTTAATTGTATACTTTAATTATAGTCGTCTATTGTCTTAAAGCTTTCAATTTGCATATGTTATGACGTCTTCTATACTTCCATATCAATATGAAATGCAGATCTTAAAGCGTGATTTCTATTTTCTTCTTTCATCATCGTGAAGAAATTGGAAAAATTGCCCTTAATTTTCATAAATTTTATAGAAACCACAATAAAAGTTGATCTACCCTATATTAAATATTTATTATACTAATATTTAGAATTATTATGCAGAAAAATGTTAACTTTTTTCATCTTATTATTTAAAATATTCACACTTGCGTAGTAGCCTAAAAAGCTGTAGATTATAACAGCACTCTATAAATAGATTAAAACTGTAATGTTTATAAAATTTTTGAAGTTATTTGCTTTAAAAATTTGACAGATCGAACTTGTTAAATGCTCTATAAAGTTTTTTTTTTTAAAATTACAGGAAAATTAACTTTAAAACTAATGATTTCAAACATATAGACCGTCACTTTACGCAACATTCACGCTGATATTATTCCATTTATACAGGATTAACGAGTAATGGGATAAGGCAATACAAAACATGGGCGATCTGGATGCTTCTCTGGATTTTCTATGGGAAACTGGCCCCTATTTATTTATGTTAGAAACGTGTCAGTCGGTTGGTGAGGTACGAACCCGCGACCAATTAACAGTATTCAATGATTTTTATCCACTCGGGCACTGGTGGACATTCTATTAATACAGTAGAGTAAAATGAATGCAGACCTAATCCTGTATACCTAATTATATACGTAGATTATAAATCAAAATTAAAACATCTAATGAAGCAAACTAATTAATAATTGAGATAAAGGCTCAATTATTAATTAAGGTTCACTCAAAACTCACAGAACTTATGTTAAAGGATATACTGTATATATATATATATACATATATATTGTGTATAAATTTAAAAATCGTTTTAATTAAATACGGATAATTCTCTTGTAAATATTCTACGTTATATTATAAAATATTAAACAATAATTCTGGACGCCATTTAGAAAAATCACATGCAAATGACATAAATTTCATTTTATTCTAAGACTAATGAATTCTCCAACAGACAAATTATAATCTTTTATCAAACAAAATGATTGAAGCACTTACAATATCAATTTAGTACATTCAAGCATATAAGAATTTATATTAAATACTATAATATTCAAATTCCTCAAATCATATGTAGAAAGAGGAAATCTGTGTCCTAAAATAAATAAGTATTCTTTGCATTTATCACTAACATCTGCATACGAGATACATTTTACGATATCTTAGCATATATATAAAGTTAATTTCCTATAAAATTAGCTTAAAAATAATATAAAATTTGTTATTCAGGTTACTTTTAAGGTATTATTTTTCAGAATTTCATATTTAAAATGCTACTCAGAATGCAAAATCTGAAAATGTTAACTTTTCAAATTTAAATACTGTATTTTCAATTGAACTATACAATAAAGTACAATATGATATGAAATTTAAATTCCAGAACTTATTAAAATTGATTTAAACTATATAAAATGGAATATTTTAATACAGCTTTACTAATTATACAATATAAAATAGTTATAAACACATATTTTGTTAATATTTTAAAGACTTTTAGTAAGTTTTACCGAATATTATATATATCTTATCCTAAAATGTGCACACATGTATATATATATATATATATATATATATGAAATATGAAATGGGAATTCTAGATTCTGCAGAGATAATTAGAAAAAGGGGTAGGGCACCTAACCTACTTTTACTCGGTACGTTGAATTCATGCTAAATGGCTTCTCAGAATGAATTCTCAGGTGGGACAGGTGTATGTAAAACTAAACCTAAGATGGTGTGAGTATCTAGATGGAACAGGTGTTTACTCAGCTAAATAACGTATAAACAATATTAAGTAACGAGAGAAAGCCATAATTTAAAAGCTATATTAACAGATGAAAAGGATAAGTGATGAAGGAAAAAAGTCAATATTTTAAGCCGTTCTCTTGAAACCTTGTAGACCTTGATAACTTGGATCATGCATAAAACTATGTTCTAATCATACTGCATAATGAATTGTTTTTTAAATAAAATTAAATCAATGATTATACAATTAAATTGAGTGATCACAAATATAATTTTTTTTCTTTTTTTATTTCATTGAAAAGAATTGAAATATTTTCCTCATACCTTATCATTAAAAGATATTAAATAATTAATTTTAAATTAATTATTTATAAATAACTTTACAATTATTTTATTTATGTACATAAATAATACTAAATTACATATTATCAGGAATTATCTTTTATTTTTCAATAAAATAATATGTGTGTATATATAGCTCAAAATGAAGATAAATTATCTATTAATGCTCTTAAAAATTATTTTTAGTTTTTGAATTTTTTAAACAAGGTCGAAGAAACATTCGTTCTCCTTTTATTTTATTTTATCTCATCCCTCATCCTTTAGTTTTCGTTATAAGTACTCGCATATATTGTTAGAATATACTTTTTTTTTTGGTTATGCGAAAATTATTGACCCGTTTCTTTATGAAATAAGGATTTATAGGTTTTAATCAGGCGTTAAAGAAGATAAAAGCACTAGGAAAAAACTTGCTTGGAATAATTCGTAAAAACAAAAAAATTTTTTTCAACTTATACGGAATTATGACAATTAAACAGCACCAATTACAAACAGTTTAAATATTTACTCGAAGTATTGACGTTTATATTGATCTATGAAGCAAGACATAGTTTAATCTATTGAAGAATATGGCGAAGAGTTCGTGGTATTCGGAATATAATGCGCACCTGAAACGTAACTCACTTCTGTAACGTTCAGCAAAGTAAACCAAATGATAATTTCGGGGTATTAAAATACACTTTGAAATCTATTAACTGGAAATAAATGGTACGTACTGATCAGGAAATACTTTAGAAATCTCCAAACAACAAATTACGATCTTCTTTCAGCCATGCTTGTTCATTTTGCTCAACGACCGTGCAAACTATGTTTCCTCGTGTTTAATATAAATAGTAAACATTATTGATCCTATAAAAATACTTTAAACTTGAAGATAAAAGAGTGAATAACCGTTTAAACTAGGTCAATAATAGAATAAGGAGATGAAAATAAATATGATAATGACTGCATTTTTGTACCTTTTAATTAAACTTAAAAACCTATTTAAGTACTTTCTTTTTAAGTTGACTTTTTACATGACGGATGAGGAAATTGTCTGGTGTTTACTAATTAACTTAAGGCTTTTTTAAATGTTATTTTTAGGGGTGTAAGATTTATTACAGAGTTTGACTAATAAAACAGCTCTTGTTATCTTAAAACAAACAAAATTTTAGATACAGGTGACAATATTCGAGGTCAAAACGCGTTTAAAAAATAATGTTTATTATTATATAATTATGTAAATGACAAAAAATTGTAAACTGAAATAAAAATTTCTCTTCCTTTTACTTTAATTAGTTTTTTTTACCCCTTTAATCGTCGGGGAAAATAATCCTTACGATAATTTAAAGCGAAACTCGATTCCTATTGGTCGGTTTGAAATGTATATTGAGCATTTGCATGACGATTATTACCCGTTTTACCACTTAAAAAGTAAAAATCGTGTCTAAATATACGTCGTGTGTTACGATTAACAAATGTAATGAATAAGCACAGAGAAAGAGAGAGAGATATGTAACTGCTGACGTCCTCCAAAATTTGCATAGAGTAGTAGGCAGGTTACCGTGAACGAGTAGGTACAGGTAGGTAGACAGGCAGGGAGAGCCAGCCAAACAAGTACATAGATGACGTTGTAGCAGGTGGAACGGCTTTCTGTGCAGGGGCGCTGTGCAACTCATAAGATGGCTTCCAGTGTATGTCGATAGTCGAGCCGAGTGTAAGCGGCGAAAATGCAAAGCGTTAACAACAACCACGAGATGAATCGCTACGAAAACAACTGTCTGCGTTGTGGACAGACTGTTTATCAAGTCGATAAAGTGGGACCTTTAAAAGATTTTTCGTTCTTTCATCACGGTTGTTTTAAGTGCTCGATATGCGGTACAAAACTGACTTTGAAAACTTATTACAACAATCAACAGAGTCAAGGTGACAAAGAAGTGTATTGCCAGAGCCACGTGCCCAAAACGGGACCCGGACACCTCGATGGTATGTCGGTCGGGATCAAAGCTGCCCTCAGTGTGCCTAAAATGAATCATTTGGTCAACGACCAGATACGAGGGTCTGGTAAGGGGACATTCGATGCGGATGCCTTGGGCATAAAAAGTGCCTTGACCTCCCCCAAACCTCATGAACATGATTGCCGACATAGAGAAAATTTAGCTGGTAGGTTCGATGCTAGTGCTTTACACATAGCTCACGGTCTCAATGCTACCAAAGTGCAAAGAGGTTACAGATACGCCGTTTATGAACAACGAATGGATGAATACATGGTAAGTTCTCGATAATATATTTATCATATTTAACCTTTGAACTATTTGCCTATCGTTGACAAAGATACCTCGATCTGTCATCTTACAAACAAATCCTAATTAGATTATTCAGTTTCAGTAAGCTTACAGAATACAATTTTATTTCATTCTTTAATAAAATTAATTAATTTGTAAGTTTTTAAAACATAATTTGTAATTCTCTAATCAGATTTAATATTTAGTTGATCGTTATTTATTCTGTGTCGTGTATCTATTATAAAGGAAATGTAAACATATCTTTTTAATTGATTTTAATAATTTAATTTGAATATTTACCACTTGATCATAATCAATATCCAATTAATTATAATCACTTAATGAGTAATTATTATTTTTTCCAAGAATCTTCTTAAAGACAGGAGTGTATAGAGTTTACCAATTCCAATATTTGATGATTACCTAAGACTGTGACAAAATATTTACTTTAACTTCACTTTTTAATCTATAAAGTATATGATTAATTCAATTCTAAATCCGATTAGGTCTATTTGATTAGATATTACACATTCTAAATTAATCCTATCATTAATTTATGTATTAACCTCCTTGAAGAGCCTTATAATAGACTTAATCCTAAAGTTACATTATAATTAGTAGACTGAATTAAAATGTATACTGAATATAAAATAATTTACTTATAAGATTAATTATCATAATAATAGATAGAGCTACTAACTCGAAACTTTTTTTTCTAATTATTACAATTTTATACTGTGTGATAGAACAATTAAAACTGTCAAGTTACTGATTAGTGAACTCGTAATTAATTCTACTTCACTAACCCCGAATCCAATTTATTCAAACTTGAAGAAAAAAAAAAAAGATGGCGATAGCATCAGAGGGCAAATATCAGTTAATTAGTTGACTTTTGATTCCTTAAAAAAAATCTCTAGATTTGGTCATTTGAAAGTTAGGTCATCGGAAAGAAAAACTAAAAGTAGAATACACTCACGCTGAACAGATTCAACGAAACGTATTCGTTAATTAAGAATAAAAATCTCTAAAATATTCACGAAGTAACTAAGCAATTGATCCGTTAATACATAAATTTATGTTTTAATATTCAAATTTTAAAAAAATATAACACGAATTTCATCTTAATACACGTGTTATCTAATTGCAAAGGTCGTCCAGATAAGGAATATTTGGGCTGTTAAGAAATCGTGTCGTAATCCTCATAATTTACACACCTACGTATAGTAAAGTTTGAGTTTTGAAAGTTAAAAAAAAAATGTCCCTCTAGCAAACGATTCCCTAACTGTCAGCACAGGAAGTATGGATGATTGCTCAGTGGGTTGTGCCCTCCCTCATCTGCTATTGTGTCACTGTCTGTCTGCCGAGCAACGTGTTACAGGTAACAACCTCGTTACGTAGAAACGATCCCTTAACCATTGGTTATCTCCAATTAATGCCGTACTATTGCCAGAAACTAGACACTTTCGGGATGGTAAACACACTCGATATGCATAAATGATTATAAAATACGCATGCGTAACGACCCGATCTACAACTTCCTGAATATGAACCTGTCAATTCCTTTTCGATGACGTCATAGCCGAAAGTTTTTACTCTCGAACCGTTTTTTTATATCATTAAGAGACGAAAATTGGATGAATCTCTTCGGAGTTAACGATAAATTACTAAGATGGGACCTCTGTTTTTTTTTCTTAATTGTATAATTGTATTAAACAATACGAAATCCTTGACCTAAATTGGCATTGACCTTTTTCTATTAGGTCTCGAACGATCGCTATTCGTGTTTTCTATCGATTCTTTTTTTTTTCACGTCCTGAATAATTTCGTGACATGACGTCACGCTATGTAGGTTCACGTGACCTAAATCTATTCACTCTTGTCTGGTTACGTTCGTACAGGAGATAGTACGGTTTTTTTAACGCTTAAAAAAAAGCAACTTTTTTCGCTTTTTATACGAGAAAATCGCATAATTAAATAAGGTTAAAATGCGGCGAAAAAATCTTAATAATTCACAAACCCAGATATAATGATTTTTGGAATGCAGTTAATCAATTTTTGGGTCGTTAATGTAGATATTTTTTAATGTTATATTTTAAAAATAACAAAGAGAATAAAAAATACCAGTAAGTTATAGAACAGCTTGCGGTTGTCATGGATCATAAGATCTCCTAACGAGGACAGGTGATTTAGTAGTTTTTATATGACGTCTTAAAGCTCATAGTGCCTGTCACCGGACGAAACTGGTAATTCGTCAACAGCAAAGTCTATGGAATAAAATTTATTTGTCAGCTTATATCCGTTTTCTGTCAATATTCATTTCTATTTCGGTTCAAATTCACGCCTCTTGATATTTTGACGGTTTAATCGCGGAATGGTTACGCGATTGCCAGTTTGCTAATCACGCGATTCTCGAGTATCACATGATCGATTGTGCGATTAAAAGTGGAAAGAAAAACGATCATCCTGCCTAGAAAAGCCACTTATATTTTAAAAGATGTCGTGCTTTATTATAATCGGTTCTGAAGTGTAGACTCTTAGCAACAAGAAAAAAAATTATATATTAATATCTATGATCTACAAAGATGAAGAGAATTCTAGAAGAGGGTTGTGTATAAAAATGCCTAGAGATATTCGAAACATACCTACACTTCACGCTGTTGATTCTTTGGCAAACTTGTTAGAGGCGTGACAAATTCCAACAATAATTAATATATAATTTTTTTTCTACGGGAGTATGAGCCAGGTGAAAGGAATTATTTTGACCTTGTAGGTCCACTTTAGTGTAGGATGACGCGGAAAAATACACCTTTTGGACGTGGGTTCACTTCGGTGAAGGTCGTTTTGAAAGAAGAGGCACATCCAGTTGGATCGGGACCAAAAAAGAAAAAATGTGTATGATTTATGTACAAGCTACCGTAAACAACTATTATTCAAATCGTGATATACTACACTCGAAACTGATCTTGATCACGACACTATTCAGGAAGGAGTAGAAGGAATATGTGCCTTTCCTTAATCAAAAATATATGTACAAAAGTATTTAGATTTGCGCACAAATAAAATCTACGTGTAAATTTATTCGCGACACCCCTAACGATAGTGTCTGTATATTTCACTGATCTTGATAACAGTATATGAGAGTAAGATCATTTCTATGGATATGAAGAGTCAGTTTATCAGTCTATTGTGAATTTAAAATCATTAATTAGCATTAAAATGCCGTGATATGGAAATAATAAAAAAAAGGTTATTGTCCTGAAAGGTATCAGACAATATCGTAGCTGTAAATCTCCACACATTACTTGTTTTTATAGACTAATTATTAAAGTAGGTCAGTTGCGAATCAAAATATTTACTTTCTTATTTTAAATCTTAAAAAAAAATATATATATATATATATATATATATTCGAGAAAGGAATTTACAATAGATATTGTCAGAAAAATATTCGTATATTTTTATTTTATGAAAGAATTTATTTTGTTTTCAAGGTGAAACTTGAATGCAAAATAATTTCCATATGGCACGTGAATTTTATTCTTACAATTACATATTCTTCCTATACAGTACATAAACAGTTTTTATTTTAAAATAGGATGATACGAACATTTTATCAGATTGTTTTGATAATTAAAACAGCAGGATCTCATTAACTACTATTAAAATGTCTTACTATCACGATATGATAAAATTGATAATTGTAGATGCTAAACAAGAGACTAAAAAAATACTCAATTTTAATTTTTAAAAAGTTTGCTTAATAGTTTCGTATAAAAGAATATAGAGAGATTAATTAATTTTCTTACACGATAGGACGAAATAATGAATATTTATACGCTTTAATTTACATATCAGATATTATAAGGCATAACTTTATCTCACCCTCAGAAATTCATTCTTAATATTAGAAAGGAAGAAGTTAACAGGTACACTAGCAAGGACACTCCATTGAGTTTTCACCTGTTCATAGATTCGTAATTATCTAATCGTGAATAATTTCATCACGTTTTCATATAAGTCGGCGTAAACATTAGATAAGAATTCTTCTAGATGCTAAGATTTGGGTCGTAGGTGGCATCTGGTAGAATAAATAGTATTGGGTCACGACCGAATTTCCTTCTAGAACTTTTATTCCTTTTATGTATCGTGTCTTAAGTTGCACAATTCTGTATTATCTGTGTTAATTATTTTTCAAATCTCTATAGAAAAATAAATATTTTTCGTACCGAAGATTGATTTCTTTATTATAAAGATATCCTTTTTGCATTGTGTTAGGTCTTGTAGCGTATCGTGATCCGTCAATATTGTTTTTAAACATCCTCTATGAGATGAAATATTAAACACGATATTTGGATATTTCTGATGAGGAAATCAACCGAATGGAACGTGAAAGATTAACTGTCTGGAACATACATTAACTTCTTTTTTAATCGTGTCATCTTTGCAGGATACGGAAACACAAAGAAAGCTAGAAATGAGACATAGAGCAGAAGAAGATGCATTATATCGGCAATTTGCTAAGAAACGTGTCGAAGAAGAAATCCACATTAGCCAATTAATAAAAGTAACGCTTAACAACTTTTTTTCTTTATTCTATTGGAAACAAAAGTTATTTAAAGTTAATTTTTTTATGATAGGAAGAATGGGAGAAAGAATTAGAAAAACTTACTAGTAGATTCCACCAAGAAATGCGTATTAAGAAGAGAAAAATCAGTACCGAAGAGGAGAAAGCTTTGACTATTAAACATCAGAAAGAAAGAGATGCTCTAGAAAAGAATATGACGATCAAATTAGATAGGAAAAAAGAATCTCTCACTAGAAAATTGTTAGAACAAGAAAGGGCAGCTACTGCGGAATTAGTGGAAAAACATAGTAGAGAAATGATGAATCTCATTAACGAAAAAAGACAAGAATTTACTGTGGTTAGTAAATAATGTATACTTTTAAAATTCATTTCATTTATCGCTACAGAAATGCAAATTTCCTTTCCTTTAGAATCAAACATCTAATGATAGAGACGGGTATTATGCTGAAGAATTAGTTCCTTATCCCACTCATCCACCTCCTCCTGGGCCTCCACAAATGTACAAAATAGATATCTATAGTGATCCGAGTATATTTTCCGATCTAGATCAAATAGCTATCAATGTAAGTAATTGCTCGAGTTTTAATTATTTTTTCTTCTGCTCTCCATTATACTAATTAAACAGATTTGTAACAGGTAGCGAAAGAAGATCAACAGACATTCACAGACTTGGTTAGACTCTTAATTGGCAGCTGCATTAATGATGTAGAAAAAGCCAGGTAAAGTATACTCGTTCACTAGTCAATAAAGGAATAGGTGTCTTTTACTAGTTATGTTTTTTATAATAGGAAACCGAGAAATGGGATAAATTACCTTGAATACCATTTGTAATTCTTTGAAACGTAAAAAATTCAAATTCGTTGTTTGTCATTAACAAAACTAGTTCAGGACATCAAATTTCCATTATTGCCTTAGAATTTCATACCACTTTCGTCGCTATACTTTCTATCTTTGCAATAATGATCTGAAATGTAATTGAATCAGTCATTTTAGAAAATTTTTTCCTATAGAAGGAAAAAAAACAAAAAAAAGAAGTTAATATAATCTCAACGAGACAATCTTACTGTGTTTGATTCAGCTGAATATTCTTAATTTATCTTTAACGCAAGAATACCTTATTTTTGAAAATTTATGCAATATTTTGGTTAAATTTATTGTTCAAACCAAAGCCTGATTTGGGCATTTCGAGGCCCTAAGCCGAACTTTGAGGCCCCTTATCAATCCTTTATAATTTTAGAAGTCGATCATAAAAAGAAAATAATTAACAAACATATTAATTAAATATTACATAAAATAAAAGTAAAGTATATTTTATCGATTTGTAAAAAAAAAAATTTGATTTCAATTTTCTTTCTTTGTAGAAATTTTTGAGGCCTCTTGGAACTCGAGGCCCTAAGCTACAGCTTACTTGTAAATACAGCCCTGGTTCAAACCTACGTTTTGATTTTATAATGACTTCATATTGAATATTAAAATGATCAATAAAATGACATTTTAGTCCTTGGTATTAATAATAGTCTTTAACTTCTTTTTATAGAACAATTTTCCGCTGGATAACAGTTAAGAATCTGAACACTATGCAGTTTGATGATAATGTAAATGCCGACACACCCATGGGTATTTTAAGAGGCATTAAACATGGAACCGAAAGTTATCATGTGCTATTTAAACGTCTTTGCAGGTAATTAAACAATTAAATTTAATAATTTTCCAGAATTTTCCATCGATAAATATCAATGGTTCTATTGTTTTGCCTATCTATCAATCAATCTTTCACCTTGTGAAATAGGTTAAACAGTAAGATTCGATCTATAATCAAACTAATTTAAAACTATATTTATAACACTGAAGGTTAGTATAACAAATGTAATTCTTTTTAACAGCTATGCTGGTTTGCATTGTGTGGTAATCAAAGGTTATTCTAAAAGTGCGGGTTATCAACCAGGTGTAAGGTTTGAAGACAATCGCTTCAGGAACTCTTGGAATGCCGTATACGTTGCTGGTGCTTGGAGGTTCGTACAATGTAACTGGGGTGCAAGACATCTTGTAAATGCTAAAGAAATTCCTAAGCCGGGAAACAAGGGAAAATCTGATAGTTTGAGATACGAGTATGACGATCATTATTTTTTGACTGATCCTAAAGAATTCATTTACGAGTTTTTCCCCTTGCAACCTGAATGGCAACTGTTAAGACATTCCATATCCCTCCGAGATTTTGAGGAACTACCATTTGTCAGATCGCTCTTTTTTAGATACGGTTTATATTTCCCAGACGAAGAAACGAAAGCAGTTTTATATACGGATAGTACGGGTGCCGCCACAGTTAGAATAGGCATACCAACCAATATGGCGTCCAGCCTCATCTTTCATTACAACTTGAAATTTTACGATAGTGATATTGATAATTTCGATGGAGTTAGCCTTAAAAGATTTGTCATGCAATCTGTCGTCTCCAGCACTGTTACATTTCGTGTTCACGCTCCTTGCAGTGGCGCTTTGCTCTTGGATATATTTGCCAATGCAGTTACGCCTAGAGAATATCTGACGGGGGAACCCATGAAATTCAAAAGTGTTTGTAAGTTTAAAATCATCTGTAAAGATCTACAGACTGTAATGGTACCTCTTCCTGATTGTGCTAGTGGCGAATGGGGTCCAACTAAAGCTACCAGATTATTTGGTATGATACCCCTGACTCACGAAGATGCTCTGATATTCTCCAGTCGCGAACTGGTGGTTCAGTTTAGAATGACCAGACCTCTTACTGATTTTATGGCTACTTTACATAAAAACGGAGTGGAAGAGAAGAAACTTTCTAAGCACGTAACGCATTCCACAGACGACGACGATGTGGTGACATTTTACATCACGTTACCGGAAGAAGGACAATACGGGATGGACATTTACACTAGAGAAGTAGATGTAGATCAGGACGGACTGGATAAACACCTCTTGACTCATTGCTGTAAATATTTAATTAATTGTACTAAGAGGTCGTAAGCCACCTTTAAAATTAAATCAGTCTCACCTTAATAATAATAATAATGAAATTGTAAAATGATGATATTTGTATAGTTTGTGATCTGTTGTTATACGTATAACATATTCTTTTGAAGAATGATGATCGAGAGAGCAATTCTTTAATATATTTTTGATATTTAGAAACTTTATACGTGTTTTTATTTTTATATTCGATACTTTTATATTGGTTATTGGAGTTTGCTGATAATTTTTTTTTATTATCAGAATTGTTCTGATAATTACTCTATTGTAATGAAATTCGAAATTGTTGTTAACTGCTTTAACTAATGTTAAAAATATCTATATGATTTTTAAAGTCAGAATAAAAATGTTTTTGATAGTTTTTGATGTATTTTAAGCGTTGATATTCTCTTTTACATCTTAATTATCACCTTTATAGCTTATTATTTGGCTAATTTTACCATCTGCTTTAAAATATAGCCTAAATAAAAAAAACCTAATTCATTCATAATTTGTTTACAGTATTTTACATCTAATCAAACGACATTTTTTATAGGAGATTTGGCAAATATATTTGAATCTATGCCAAAAATGCTAATAAATAATGAAGAAAAATTGCGTTATGCAACAAAGTATAATAGTTTTTTTTTTTTAATTCCATTTTAAACGTCCGTTTTATTTTCCTAGACTAATCCTATTTAAGCACTTATTTTAAAATACTCATTTTAATTAAAACATTTCTTAAAATATAAATTTAAGCTGTGATATTTCAAGAGAGAACCATAACATCTGGCAATAACGATACAATAGAAGGCATCTACTGGTACGGTGTATCACATTACCCTGTGTATCATATTATACTGAAACTTCAGAAAAATAAATCATGAATTTTTAAGCAAATCAAAATATTTAAACCTTTCAAAAAAATTATAAAAATTTGCGAATGAGTAGATTATATCTATATAAAAATTTACTTCGAAAACTGAATAAATATTTATTAATCAGAATATTTTTAAAAATTATTCCACGGTTGTTTATTAAGCGAGGCTTGAAATAATATTTAAAAATGACACGTGAAGTCAATAAACAGTATAAATTATACATATTTGCTAATGTGAAATTCTTAATTGGAATTTTCCTACATATTCGATGCTCGTCGTAAGATTTTTCTCTCTATAAATTACAAAAAGATATAAATCTAATTGCTTGAAGAATATTTTGATCGAAATTTTAATGTTTTAGATAAAAATCGAATAGAAAAATATAGTAAAAAATGTTTAGGACGTCGTGCATAAGATTTAGGATCTTTCAGTTTTTACGTTGCATTTTTACGAATTTAAATATAATCTAAAATTCAATTTATAAAATAAATTCTGTTTAAACAGGTTGATAAAAATCCACACCAAATTATGAGTATTTTAATGGTGTATTTTCCATAATAACACAATTATCGCAGAAGTATTAAGTGTAAGCCTATTCATTTCCAAATATTACTTTGACGTCATTTTCGCACCTCCCAGTATATTTTATTTGGCATAAAAATAACGTCATTATCGTTGCAATTGACTAATCTTTAAATTTAATGATGTTTAAGTGTTAAAATTTTATTTTATACTCGCCATAAAAATTTATAGCTACACCGAAACAGTTATTTCTTTTTCGAATTTAAAAGCTAGAAGACAGAATAAAACAGAATTAGACTCGAAAATATGCTGATTAATCTCAACTAGATAGCGTGTGAATAAGCAATATTTGAAGATGATTTTCTGCAAATAATTCTGTAGAAATGCATACGTAATAATTATGTAAATGTAAAACGAGTTTAGTTAGGTTTTACAATATAAAATAAAATTTAAAAAGTTGAAATTGTGAAATTAAACAAACGTATGTTACATTTAAACGTAAAACTATATCCTTTTTTATATTAAAATAACTGATCTTTAACGAATTAATATAACAGTAGATATTTTGCTAATATCGATACTCTCTGATAAAGTTTTCATAAAGAAAAAGAATTTATAAATATCCAAATCTATTTTTGATGTGTTTGATATAATCTGAACTCAATGAAAAGAGTTGCATTTGTGATGTGATTGATTTAGTGGCCTTCTATTTCTTCAATATAAACAGGAACTACGTGTGCATGTTGAATGTAGCAAATAAAATTTTGTTACGTAGCAATTTAGAGAATTTATGAATATTTAACACTAAAAATATAGCAAATATCACTCGAATATTATTTAAAAATTAATCTTGACGATAAGAATAACACGATTGACCTATTTTATCAGTTCAATTGCTTATGTATCAAGAGTATTGTAAAGAACTCGCAAGAATGAATTGTTAACATTTCGCATATTAATTCGAGTGATTTTAATACATTAAAAATGAAATTCCTAAGCATTTTCCAGGTGAAATGACCAAATGTTTGAATTCCATAAGCTTTCCTTTTTTCTAAAACCCAAATATTTAGGATATTAGCACCAAAATATTATGGTGATATTAATAACAATAGTAATAACTTTAAATTGTAAACACAAATATATTTACAATTAAAATATCTTTCCAGTTAAGGAAGAGATATAAGTACACTTGCCGATTTGATATAATTAAAAATTTCATTTAAAATGACAGGAAATAATTAAAGATTTACAGATAAACCATATCTCGAAACACGCAATGAAATATTTTCTGCCATTTCTGAAAATTTTACCTTGAAAAATTTAATTTTTTATTGAAGTTTTTATGTATAAAAATAATGCTGAATTATCTTAATATCTTGAAAAAATATATATCCATGAAGTAAAATGCAGTTGTACGTATATAATTAATGCATAATGAGGTTAATATTCTAGCGGCATTTTTATCCATCGTACAACTAAATATTTCTATAGAACTGCATATTTTGCATTATATTTAAATGACACGTTTATGACCTAAAATGAAACTTAGCTCTGTTTTTTACTTTAGTGATTATTTTAAATAAAAATAATAATTATTATTTAATATTACTTTTGTTAGATACACAGAATAAAAGTTAATTATAACTAATAAAATTCGTTATATGAGATGTAATAATAACGTGACTGATAATCATAAAAAAAATGTATAGAACAGGAAAAATGAATGAATAGATTTATCGAAATATATAAACAGAAATAAATATTAAAAGAAGGATATTCATGCGCATTTGGTAAACAATGTAAGTCTATTTTAAAGCGTAAACTGAATAGTTTAAAGGGAAGGATCTTATACAGGAAATAGGAAAATATGGGATAGAACAACAATATGGGACAATATATTTAGATGAATATGTTATATTTTACTGAAAGTTTTCAAAATACTGTGTTGAATTCTTGAAAAGTTATAATCCAGATATTATTTACACAACAATTCTATACTAAATATATATATATTTTTTCACGTTATTGCTGTTTGTAACGAAAAAATAAGGTTCAAAAGTTTAACTTGAATCAATTGGTAATTAGATACGATACAAACTTAGGCTTATATCATTTTAATAATAAATGTTGTTGTTCTGGAGATAATAAATCAAAATGTTTTTATAAATTATCATTTTGACAGTTTTTAAAAGTTTTACTTAAATATCTACTTAATTAATTGAATCCAACAGTGGAAAAACAACTGAACATTCGTAGTTAAAGTTCACACCTCACCTACAGGCTAGTTACGTAGAGGGTTCCTAGTTTTCTTCATGTGTTTAAAATCCGAATATGGTTAAGTTTTCCATAGAAAGTCTTCTTGACAGATCGCCTATATGTTACATTGCTTTATCCCAAAGAGCTAAACCATTTAGTTAAATAATTTAAATTTATATCAGAGTGAGAATATGGAAGTTTATAAGAATAAAATAGTTATGGGAATATGTATTTGTGTTTAAAAACTTCAAGTAAAACCAAATTAATTATTATAAAAATAAATTCATTAAAATTGTTAGTTTTAAAGGAAAAATGTTAAATTTTTCTTCCTGAAAATGGGATTTTGCAGAAAATCTCAACTGATATAAAACTGATAGAAAACCGAAATGCAGTTTAATGATTTTGTGGCAATAATTATAATATATTTAAGAACTTGGTGTTAATTGAAATTTGTCGAATTTTATGGAATAATAATAATAATATATAATTATATTAGAGAGTGGTAAGTTTATCCGTGAACATTAATTATAAGATTAAGGCAATAAAAATCTATTCACACTTTTTAGAGAGTTAACACTTAATTCGAAGTTTTACGTTCTCTCTGATCATGAATTGAATCAAATATTAGTTAGAGAAAACAGAAAAATTTCCTTTGATAAAAAAAAACTGCCCTATAGGGAAGAGAAATCTTTATAGCAAGGAAACTTTATACTGTTTACGACAAAATGTCGAAAACAACATAAAACAGTGACAGAACTTTAAAATATATAGGCCTATATTTGAATTCATCAAACAATCATTTTCCTTTTTTATAAAACTTCAAACAATAAATAGATAAAAATATCAGCTTGAAAACTTTGATTTAATTTAATGGAAATAATATTGATACTTTAATTATGTTAAACCGGCGTATCTTTATTTAACAGTCTAGAGAGAAATTTAGCAATCCAAATGCAATCAAATTTAGTATGGTAACATTTCAGAAGACGTTACCTTAAAAAAAAACATAAAAAATTAGTACTAAAACTCGCCTGTATCTCAGTTTTAGCGCTGCTAGCAGCGAAAAAGCAGTTCCTTTTTTTATTAGCACGCGTGTTGGAACCAAGTTCTGAGTATTAAAGCGACCACAATTGTTGAACGCCATTCTTATCAGCTATGATGGTCATTATCTTGAAATGTGAAATGCACAGTCGGTTATTCATCGCCTTCAGGTCTTACAATTTCAGAATGGAAACCACATTAAACAGTATATACCCCGAATCGCATAAACGTCTTTTAAAAATTATATTTAAAAACCTTTGCAAAAATATTATTCATTTAAAGAAATAACTGGCAATTCGCATATTCTTTTGTACAAATAAATTTCTGAATCGCTTTTATTTTATAAGTTAAATGTCTCTATGCTGTGCAATAAATAATTAATTTAATTTAGAAAAATTAATACGTCCATGCGTGCAATTCTAAAGTATATTTTCTTGTATAGGACAGAAAATAATGTTAATCGAATAAGTATAATTCAAAGTATATATTTTATAGACTTATCTACCATCCATTTCAAACTATTCATTTAATGCTTCAATTCATC